TGGTTGGATGGATGGAGGATTGATGGATGGATGGATGGATGGATGATGGATGGATGGAGGATGGATGGATGGATGGATGGATGGATGATGGATGGATGGAGGATGGATGGATGGATGGATGGATGCATGGATGGATGGATGGATTTGTGGATGAGTAAATGGGGTCATGGGGAAAATGAGTGGCCAACTGTGTGAAGAAAGAAAAGGGAGACTAGTTGCACCTGGCTCTTGAGTAACTGTTTCTCAGAAGACTGTCTCACTCTCCAACTGTGAGGTCCTGGCACCCCCCAGAGGTCAGAGTCTGCCCAGCACTCCCAAAGCCCTGAGAAACAGGAATACAGACCTGGAGAAAGTTGGGGACCCTAAAAAGTGGGAACATTAGTGTCTGCCCTCCACATTGGTGCTGCCCTAGTTCCTTTGGAAATGGAGCTAACCACACCCAACACCTAGGTGGCTGTGACAGGTGTGACTGGCACATGGATAGCAGGTGCTCGTGGAATGTGGTTTCCTTCCCAGGAACAGGAGCCCAAGGACAGGTCAATGTGTGGCGCATGGTCCAGCCTAGGAGGGGCGGAGGTGAGGAACCAAGGACAGGCTGGGAAAGGCAGGCAGCGACACGTTTATTTCCTGGGGGTTTCAGACTCTCGCAGTGCCGGCCCAGCCTCGGAGGACTTCCACAAAGTCCATGAAGCCTCTTGGAGTTCGACCTCCTGGGCCAGCTGGGACGTGTGCTCAAAGGCAGCCTGCAGTAAGTGGGAGGCCAGGCAGGTGGTCCAGGTGACGAGGTAGACCAGATGCCAGGAGAGAAGTGACACTGTGCTCACCACCCAGCAGTACAGACGCCTCAACCACATCAAGGGCTGCAGCACTAAGAAGCTCCCCAGCAGGGCCTAGAGCAGGAGGGCAGAAGGACAGGTAACTCCCCGGAACTCCCCTGGTCTGTGCTGCCAGGCTACTCACCCCCAGCACAGCCCCAGCCATGCCAAGTACTTCCAGATTGTCCTCCCACAGCCCTAGCCTGTTCCCTAGCGCACCCACCTTTCTGGACAGCTGGCCCAGGCTGAAGCGGTGAGCCACCTGGCACAGCCGCCAAGCCAGCAGCAGCAGCAGCAGAGCCACCAGCATCAGGCTATGCAGACAGGACAGGAACAGGTCCATCCAGGTGGCTGAGGACGGGCCCAGCTGTGCCCAAGCAGCCAGACACTGTGAGGACAGGCCCAAGGCCTGGGCACAGCCCAGCATGCTGGCCCACACCAGCCTGGGCACCCATAGCACCAGCCACACAGGGATCTCCAACAGCGCCAGGCCAGTGTGCACCGCCTGGCGCACAGAGCAGGCCACGGTGCCCGGGGGCAGGGGCACCTGCCGGCTGCGGGAGCCTCGGGCCTTCTGCGCCAGCCCCGTCACCCACTGGTTGAAAACAGTGATCTTAAGGAGCAGGAACTTGTAGAGGTGGACCCTGTTCTGGACCATCTACAGGAGGAGGGAGATACAGCTAACAGCTGTCCGCCGTCTGAAGAAAGAAGCCCACCTTGAGCCAGACCCTCCGCCTCCTCCCAAGGCCAGCACGAGACTCTCCACACAAAGCTCATCTTCATCTGCTTCCAAGGAGTCTGCCTTCAGAGGGCTCTTTGTGTGTTAGCTCAGAAGAGGTTTCGTATTAGGTCGTGTTTTGTTTTAAATGCGGCGCACAGCCAACAGCAGGCTGTTCAAACCCACCCGCTGCTCCTCAGAAGAAAGACGGGCCAGCTGTGCTGCAATCCCGAAGGCGCAGGGTTCAAGGCCACCTGCTGCTCCACAGGAGAAAGATGGACCATCTCCTCCCGCGAGATTTACAGCCTCTGAAAACCCACTGGAGGGTCCTCTGTGAGCTCGACAGCACACAACAACAATCCATGTTCTCTAGACGGAAGGCGGTAGCTTTTACGATCACTATTTGTTGATATTGTGAGCTGTTGAGTTGAAACTGACTAATTGACCAACACTGTGAGTTGGTCAACTCCAGCGGGTTTTCAGAGGCTGTAAATCACACGGGAGAAGAATGCCTCTTCCTTCTCCAAGGGATCAGCTGGTGGATCTGAACTGTGTGACTCTGGGATTGCAGAGCAGCTTTTTATCACAAGGCCACCAGGGCTCTAATTTAATTAGTTGTTGTTATTGTTGTCGTTGTGTACCGTCAAGTAGGAACCGACCAACAGCTGACCCTTCGGTGGGTTTTCAAAGGCAGTTAATCACACAGGAGGAGACTGTCCATCCTTCTCCCACAGAGCAGCTGGTGGCCTCGAACCATGTGCCTTCAGGATTGCAAGGCAGCTTCTTACCACTAGGCCACAAGGGATAGCAATCCCCAACTCCACTAATCATACAGGATTAAGCCTTGCTCACTTGTACTCTCCTAGCACCTGGATATGTCCTCACACCACGGTGATGTCATGAGGTAGCTGGGAGAAAGGACAGAGAGCAGCAGGCACAGAGAGGAGTGAGATGATTAATCACAGAGGAGTTGCAGGTCTCTGGCTCAGGTGACAAGTGCCTTTCATTCACCTGAGAGAAAGCTCACGGGAGGAGAGGGGGCAGGAGCTGTGAGGAGGGGAGCTTGACTTGCCTTAACTTCATCAAGGGACACCCACCCACCACCCCAGACTCCCAGAGACAGTAGCTCCATGTCCACAGGATTTGGGTCCTGGAACCTTGAAGGAGGAATGGGAGAGGTGGTCAGTGGTGGGCCCCACCCGGGAATGAGCAGAGGTCAAGTCTGGTGGAGCCACCTTGAGAAAAGAAGACAATAGAAGATTTCCACTCAGGGAGGAGTTAGGGTGGAGTGCAGAGATGGAAGCTATCTCCCAGATCCTGAGGCTGAGACAGGAAGAACTCTCTGATGGGCCATGTGATCCTTCTCGTAGGGGGTCTTCCTGACCTCCTTCCCCGTCACCTTTCCAAGCCTGACGCCCACCTCCAAGAACTGGGCCTCCTGACAACGTGGCCACCACGCTATGTGAGAAGGAGTTCACTCTCCCAGTCTCCAAAGAGCAGCTCCCCGGCTGCACGTTTTCCAGACATCCTTATTCATCCTTGTGCCAGCACTGGGGTTTGGGGGTGAGGCTTCTGGGAGCTGTTAGTCATCTCACCCATGGGGGCGCCCTGGGTGCTGCATCTCTGAGGTGGCTCCCCTCTCCGCCCCGCCCACTGGTCCCCCACCGTCCACCCCATCCTGCTCACCAGCACTGAGAGCCTCGCCGTCTGCAGCAGGATCCCTGAGAGGCTGGATCTGGCCTGAGCGTCTTCCATGACTGGCTCTCTGCACCTCCTCCAGCAGGAAGAGCAACCAGGTGACCTCACAGGCGGTGCTGGGTGGGAACCAGGTTGCCATGGGGACTCATCTGTCACAGGAGACCCCTTGTCTGCTTCCTGTTTCTCCACTGCTCCCTCTAAGACCCCAGTCCAAGGCTAGCTGCACCATGGCCTGGGCTTTTCCTGCCTCTTTGGACAAATATAAATTCCCCAGGAGACCCTGGGGAAAGGACACACATCCAAGTGGTTTATGTGGGAGAGGGCCCATCTAGGGGAGAAGAAGAAGGAAGACAGGCAGGTGAGGAAGAAAGCTTGTAAAGGGTGTGTTAACATGCAGGTCATGACTTCGGGCTCCTGGGAGACAGCAGGGAGTGCGCCTCAGAAGTCTCTCCTGAGAAGTGCAGAAGCTGGGCACTTAGCTCCCACGTCCCCTCCAGAAAGGAGCCCTGGTAGCTTAGTGTGAAATGCATCTGGCTGCCAGCTAAAAAAATTAGAAGTTCAAATCCACTTTGAGAGACAAATGGGCCATTTCTTTCCATGAAGATTTACGGCCCTTAGACCCCTCAGCCACACAGCGTCAGGAGAGCAGCATTTGTCCGAGGATGAGGTTCGGAAGGTAGGAAGGAAGAGGGTGGGAGATATGAGTGGAAGCCAGAAGCACAGAGACATAGTGACGGGAGTGACGATACAACGTGTTGTTGTTGTTGTTGTTACGTGCCGTCGAGTCACTTGCGACTCATAGCGAC